CTGTAAAACCGGCCTGGCAGGTTGCGTTGTTCTGGCAAGGTTTCTTTGCACAAGCATTCTTCAACGAAAAAAACAAACTTAGCCGTTGTTACAGCGACATCCATTGACGATATTTAACAGTTAAAACACATAAAAACTGTAAACACTGCGTCACCTCGATTAATCGCATGAAGCGTTGATAAAGGTAAATTTGTCAAATTTGATCAAGGTAAATTTGTCTTATTCCTTGAACAGTGAATTAGATGTGCGCATAGTTATACCAAAATCTTGCCAACTACACCTTGAATACTTCGCTTTTGGTCAAATTTTAAACGAAGGTGGAAGCAGTCGCTACTTGAACAGTAATGCAAATACTGTAATCTGATTGACTGAGTGATCGCACACTACCAGCCATTAGTATGAATCTACCAGCGTTCTATCACGAATGCCATTCTCTGATTGGCTACGCTACTCACTATCTATTCTGTTGTAGATAGTGGGTAGTGAGGCACCGTGCGCTAGGGGCCGCTTCTTAGTGTTTTCGAAGTGTCTTTAAAGAGGATTTAGATAAAGTTTTGATAGACCAATAGAGATTTATACTAAAACAATTAGATTATTCGCTCTCGATTTCTATGCGTGAAAGTTCAGGCCGTCTGCGAAATGGCGACGTTTTGTTCGTTTTTTAAAAGCTTTGGAGGAACACTTTGATACATGAGAAGTCTAATAGAAGGAGATTTACAGCTTCTTGACTTAAACTATATAAAATTTAACAAATAGAACGTGGTTTAGCGTGGTCTGTATTCTTATCGACAACGATACGCGTCATCACAGTGGTCAAAATGTGGTGGACTCACGAGGACTTGTTTTTTACGACAGTATCAACTAATAAAGAAAATTTTTTTTCAAGAGCGCGAACTGAAAAAGACATTGCGTGTCACACTGATGCGAGCAGCGTTGTCAGGACTCTTATCGACAACGGCAAATTAGCCAATCAGATTGCGAGATTAGTAGCAATTATGGTAAAATAAATTATCGAAAAAAAAAAAAAAATGATGCGCGTGCACACAACTGTAATTTCAAATGACGATTCAATCCGAATGATCTTTCCAAGGTGCGAAGACGGCGAAGTTTAACAATACGTGGAGAAATAATTGGAAATCGTTATTTGAAGTGAATCTCAGTTAGAATTTTACTAAAACAATTAAATTATTCGCTCTCGATTTCTATTTAAACAATAGAGTGTTTCTGTCGAGGAACTATCGGTTGATGGTTGCCCCGCGGAAATTTGATGTTCTTAAAACAAATATTTGCCCAAGAAGCGAAGCTTCGAGGGCAAATATGCTAGTTTTAAGAACATCAAATTTC